CGCCTATCTGGGTTCTTCCCTCTCCTTCCCATGCGACAACCGCCTATCTGGGTTCTTCCCTCTCCCTCCCATGCCACAATCGCCTATCTGGGTTCTTCCCTCTCCTTCCCATGCGACAACCGCCTATCTGGGTTCTTCCCTCTCCTTCCCATGCGACAACCGCCTATCTGGGTTCTTCCCTCTCCTTCCCATGCGACAACCGCCTATCTGGGTTCTTCCCTCTCCCTTCCATGCCCCAACCGCCTATCTGGATTCTTTTTGATCACTTGGTATGATACTATGAACAGAAAGTAAAAATTTTACTGTTTAAATCAGGAGTACAAAACTGAATTTACAGAAAATTTAGTTTTGCCATGCCCTGAATCAGAACAATACTTTAATTCACCATTTAACGTTTCCCTTAATAGTGCGATAGAATCAGCAAGGGTTTGAATGTATATCAGTGTGGTAGGAGACCTCATCGGGCACTGTCTTTCGATTTTTTAGATGCTTGCTCCGTTCACAATAATTTCAGCCAGTGCTGAAGGTTTAGAACACTTATCGACAAGATTATCAATTCCCTCATTGTTTCACCCCGACTCTCTCCCTCTTACTTTATTTTAATATCCACTTTATCTTATTTTAGCAGCTCCGCAAAGAAGAAAGAGAAAGGAGAGCAAAACACGCCGACAACGCACAACCTTCACCAGCGAGCAAACTCTTAAGCTTGAACTCGAGTTTCACCAAAACGAGTACATCACTCGATCAAGGCGTTTTGAGTTGGCTGCCTGTCTTAACCTGACTGAAACACAAGTCAAAATATGGTTCCAAAATCGCCGAGCGAAAGACAAACGCCTAGAGAAAGCGCAAATGGATCAGCAGTTGAGAATCGCAAGTTACGCGGCCGGAGCAGGGATTACATATCCGCCATCTTACTTCAATTATTATTCATCCCATTACTACAAAAACAATCCTGCTCAGGTGACTGGTAACATCACTCAAAGGGTTGTGTAAACAGAAATAACTTTCTGCAAGTGGAACAGAACTATTTATTGTTGTGCAGACTGCGGTAATGAACTTTTAATATAATATGGTTTTGAATCATTTACATCCGTACTCGGGCAATTTAAGATTCCTAATACTTCCTTGGCATACGCGAGAATTTAATTTTTCATTCATCTTGCAAACTTTCCTCTATAGACAAGGTGCATGCTTTTAATTGTGAGTAACGTTCCTAGACACAGAAAATCAAATAATTTTGGCTGCGCAATTGTTGTTTCTTTGTTAATAGAGCGTTTTACTCTGAAGTTGGAGCATTCTGTTAATGATAACGATCAAGGTTGAGTCTGGGTTAATTTACGTAATGTAAATACACTCATAGAAACTTCAATTAAATTGTACATAGATATATTATATTTAGGTTTACTGGATTATCTTGTATGGAGAGACATCTCGCTTTTCATGCGAGAATTGCTTATAAACCGCTCGAATTGCTCCAATTTCTATTTGTAGACGTAGCTAAGGGAGACTGGCTGGAATGTCAAAAATCGAGTTTTCTTGGCAAACCTTCTCTTGTTAATTACATTTTCTCCTTATTAAAGCAATAAATGACCTCGAAACCTGATAAGAACCATTAGATTTTTTCCTGGGTTTCCATCATTCATCATTCTTATTATTTATCTACTGCGTACGATGCAGGACAACGCTTACTGACCCTAACCCCAACCCTAAGCATTTCGTTTTCAGTCCCGCGGGTTTTATGATGTGCCCGCGCGTATCGATCCGAAGCCAGACCGTTTCAGCTTTGCGACACCATCTTTAACTCTCAGACACAAATGACCTCGATCTCGTGTATCCATCCGCCTCTATTTCATGCGATAACTTTTAATCACGTTGGCTAAGTAAAGTTCCGCGGGTTGCTCGCTTCGGTTTGGATGCTAAGGAGATTTGTATATAAATTGTACTCATTTGATCGAACGACAGGTCGGAATTGTGGGCCGCACCACCGCACCATCATTTGATGCTTGCAGAGTTAGTAATCCCTGCTATTGTTTTAACGTGTACAGTGTGCTGGCTGCAGATCCATATCTCAGAATTGGTATTCTGTCATTCATCTGGTAGCACCATCATTGCGTCTTGTGCTTTCCAGTCAGTGCTGTTGCCTTGTTTCTAATTTACTAAAACTGTGCTATAACCCCATGTGTATGTTTTCTTTTCACCGGAAATTATCGTCAAGGTCTTAAAAATCTCCCCAGCTGCACTGTAGTTTAGTCGTATACTAATTAAAAGGGGAAAACTTTCGGGCCTTTGAAAACCGACCGCCTATTACTTGGGATGGCGAATGGTCCTTCAAAATCTCTGGGTCTCGCAAAATTTTTTACTTGAATTTTATAGGTCTCGCAGTCTCGTTTTTTCAGCGGTTATGTGCGTCTCGTAGTCTCCTTTTTCATAGGAAGGTGTCTCGGAGTATCGATTTTTTGCAAGGCTAAAGGTCTCGAAGTTAACTTTCATTTCCCGTATACGTAGTTGGTGGTTTTGATTTCCCCGCTTTCGACGCGATCGCCGGAAAGCGATCGAGTGTATGGTAGTTTTAATATTTCGACCTTTTTTGCCAACTTTTGCCATCTTGGGCAAACAATCCCAGGTAAAACCACCATCAGTGTGACTTGCGGCCTAGATCTTTTATAGCTAGCTATAGTAGCTTACAGTAATAGCACCGCGGGAATTGACTGGCCAAACGTGGCGTGGTTGTTTTCGCTAGGCCGGGATTGAAGTTTTACTGGTAGACGAACAGCGAATTGTCGGCACATTCTTAAATACTTAGTTCTTATTAACCGAGCGGGAGGTCTGTACGGGAGAATCTTGACCAAGGTCGCCAGTACAGACCGAACGCAGTGAGGTCTGCTCCAGCGACCGAGGTCAAGATTCTCCCATACAGACCGACCTAGCTCGGTTAATAAGAAGTTTATTATATGGCTGTGTCTTTTATATGCCAATTTTTTATATTCTTTGTACCTTTTTTTTTCTAGACCGGTACTTATGTCCATTTCTGTTTCCTCCATTGTTTTGAACGCTTCCACCTCAACTGAGTTCAAACACGGCCGCGCGTTCTTTCTGACGACTTCCAGACAACTTGAGTTGTAATAAGTAACAGCGCGTCGAATAAAAAAATCAAAGGGAAACGACTAAGCGCAACTTTCTGACCGGAAATTAGGTCATGGCCAGGAAAAAAAAAATAGAATTTATTAACTGTTGACAGATTTTCAGATCCGATGTTTCGTACAAGGGTTTACAACAAAAGGATCCTTTGTGAGACTTTTGTACAAGCTCATTCTAGCTCATTATCATGGCTCTCAACCAAATCTGGGGCTCGCAATTTAAGAGTCTGAACGCGCTCGCACTCAAAACCCTTTGAAGTCTCGGTCTCGTAATCTAAGAAATCAAAATGTCTCGGGCTCGCAAAGAAAAATGCTAGTCTCGCAAAGTCTCGCACTTACCATTCGCCACCTCTAATACTGGTTGAGTGCTTTATACGGTGCTGCTTAATAAAGCTTCGACTGTATTTTTGGCAACCTCGTTCCCAGGGGCTTTTTCCGCCCCCCAAAAAGCCCTGGGAACGAGGTTGTTTTTTTGGGACATCATAACTTGCGATAAACTATGCATAGATAATATCTTAGTCTTCTACAATCAATGCTGTAATGAAGAGCTGTAAAAAGCTGTTTAAAAGGCTGTATTTCTTCTTACATAAGAAAACAAGAGGAAACACTTCCTGTAATGACCTGACCATTTTATCTCATTTTAAAACGATAGAAGTGTATCTCTAATTCCAAAAAAGGAAGTTTTGAGTACAAAAGGCAAATCATTTTGGTTTTTTTAGATGATTTATCAAAAAAAAAATCATATGTTTTTCCATAAATCAAGGTCGAGGTGACCCCCAAGAGAAACGATTTTACCTGCTGCAGAAAAAAAAAAACAAAAAAACACTGATCTGAGGTCTGAGCTCCCATTTCTATTTGACAGTTTCCAAAATTATTAACCCGGAGTCGAAAAATATGATATTCATGTTATCACGGCCATTCATCATCACTTCACGGATTTATTGTGAATCATCAAAATAGCCAGCGCCTAGTTGGCTTGTTAGATCAGTTGGCATATCGCATAAGTCTTGGCATGGGTTTAACTCTTGTACAGGCTTGAAGTTTTTTTCAGGCTCTATTGTAGTGTTCATTACTGCGAAGATCATTCTCATCTGCATTAATCAACCCGAAGTTCAGATATGTGATATTCATATTTTCACAGTCATTCAGTTTCCACAAAGATGGCCAACATGACATCAACGCTTAATGCAACACAGCCCATGTCGACCTGCTTTAACCCCACAGCATTAAGAATTGGGAAGACCATCATTTACTGTCTGATATTTGGGGTTTCGCTGATCGGAAATAGCTTTATTGGAATGGTTGTCTACAAGACGAAAGCGTTGAGAAAGCCCATAAACTTTTTCATTGCCTAAACATGGCCATGTCCGATCTGTTGTTTACGATTTTCCTGCAGTTAGTAAGGTTACACACAGCCGACTTCTGGTTGATCAGTGGTACTCTTGATACTGAAAGCGTAGTATAAGCTGTCTTTCTTCTCAACTATGTTCTCAATAGAGGTCTCAAATGTTGTTTCAGTACAAAGCCTGTTTCTATTCACTGTCGATCGCTTTGAAGCTGTATTTTATCTCCTCCGTTGATAACTGCTGGAGGTTGGTTCGGACGAGATTCTCAGTGATAGGGGGAATAAAATAGGACACTCCAGGTGGCAGCTTGGAACTAACATAATGGGGTAATACGCTCTCAGTTAGGAGGGTCAGAAGCATGATTTAACTGAGCGGAGGAAGAAACATTGGCGACTGAAATGCTCGTTAAAAAGGTTGGCAATATCATAATAATCATGATAGTTCATTCCGTCAATGGTTAAATGATTTGTCAATTTGGAACATTTAGAGGGCGCAAGAGAACGAATAATGCGCCAGAGGTTTTTAGGATTATCAAGATTATTGTTAATTGAGTTTCGATACTGAAAAGGAACGCTTAGAATAACGAATAAGATGAGCCCCTCTATTACGCGCTGAACGGTACTCACGCCAACATAATGCATTGTTTGACAGGATCGCTTTTCTATGCAAATGGTTCCGCGTGACAATTGCGGCTTGAATTTCACTGTTGAACCATTCGGGTATGAATTCCCTCTTGACACGGCGTGTGAATCCAGAACGCTTTTAAATAAAGAATACCAATGACTTAAAGCCTCATTAGGCTCAGAATACATATCCATTGTACTCCAGGGTAAAACATTCTAAATCGGCCAGAAAGGTGTTAACAGAAAATTTCTTTTTTGAGCGAAAAAGCATAGGTTTGTGGCCCTCAGATTGTACCTTAATGGCTCTAGATTTTAGTGACACGTAGATGGGAAGATGATTACTTAGGGATAACGATAGAGTACCTGATTTAAGAACATTATCTCGATCACTGACCAAAACAAGGTCCAAAAGCGTTCCAGATAGCGGTCTTGTAGTATCAGTAATAAGTTGATGAAAACTATAAGCCCTGGTTAGGGCAATAACTAGCGAGGCAACTTACTGTCGGTAAACACAATATGGCGTCGATTCAACTTGGCATCCAAAACCAAAAACTCGCATAGAAACACACTGCTCGTCGTAAGAGATTCACGATTCAACCAAAAAGATCCAAAAACATTTAGCTCTTTATTAATGCTTTGTTGACGGTGCAGTGACGGAAGAAAATAGAGTAGATTTATAAATATAAGAGAGCGGATAACTGCGCGTTCACTCGTTACGGCGGTCATTATGTGACCTAAACTTGAGAGAACATCTCCCTGAACAGCTGACGAAGGGCTAACGCACGAAATGTCAGCTTGAGAAACTCCTTAAGGTAGTCAATTTACATTATTAACTCATTTGATGATAGTGTGGGCGGCGTGGCCGAGTGGTTAGGGTACTGGACTTGTAAACCGGTGTCCTGGGTTCAAGTCCTCCACCCTGCCGCTCATTGGATTTGTTCTCAGTTGCCCCTAGTTCAACTCCTCAGCTGCGCTCTGTAAATAGCCCATTGGTCTGCCTCCTGCCAGTGGGGATTTTTAAGCTCTTAGTTAGTCAACATTGTGGCTGAAAAGCCCCTAAGGGGGAGCTTCAATTAACGTATATTATTATCATTATTGTTATTTGATAAAACCAGCGCCATAGTTTCTTCTGAAACTCGCCCCCTTTACGCAGCTGTATTCAAACACATTCTTTAAGGAAAAGAACCTCATTTTTTTTCTAAATAAATCTTCTTTGAATCAACTACCTGCGTGCCCATTTTATTCCAACTAACAGAAATTATATCTCCTTACTGATGACCATCACAGCTACACGGAAGATTCGTGAGCAGACTGCAAATTACCCTAAGCCATTAGGGAACTTCAATTGATGTAAATTAACACATGGTTTTTCCTTGAATTAAATTTAAGTTTGCACAACAGTTAGAGAACTACAGGCTGCCGGAGAAAGCTTAAGAAACTGATCTCTCAGTTCTGTAAATGTATTCATGATGTCGACGAACGTGACCTTAACACTAAATGGAACACAGCCCATGTCGAGCTGCTTTAACCCTACAGAAGAAAGAATTGGGAAGACCATCATTTACTGTCTGATATTTGTGGTTTCGTTGGTTGGAAATGGCTTCATTGGAATAATTGTCTACAAGACGAAAGCGTTGAGAAAGCCCATAAACTTTTTCATTGTAAACATGGCCATGTCCGATCTGTTGTTTACGATATTCCTGATTCCGAAGCAGCTAGAAGGGCTATACACAACCGGCTCCTGGCTGATCAGTGGTTCTCTTGGCAAAACAATGTGTAAGTTGCTTACCTTCTCGGTAGAGGTCTCCAATATCATTTCAATACAAAGCTTGTGTCTGATCGCTGTAGATCGATTTGGAGCTGTATTTTATCCCCTCCGTTGTCCACTGATCAGTTCAAAGCGGTGCCGGTTCTTCATTCCCGTCACTTGGATCATCGCGCTGGCCTTTAACTGCCCACAGCTGATCGCTTATAGACTTGTACAGTATCCGAAAAGGCTGGTGTGTGAGCCGAAGTGGAATGGCGCGTTTGGAGAGTCCTCTTCCTATAAAAACTACGTTTTGGCAAGATCCGCCGTATTCTGGCAGATTCCTTTGGTATTGATTGTCGTTCTCTACATTGCAATCCTTAAAAAAGTGAAATCCCAGAAAATTCCAGGCGAGCAATGCCTCAACACAAGAGAACAACGTGCGAGAAGAGAGAGAAATGTCCTGAAGATGTCTGTTGCTATCATGATGACGTTCGCAGTATGCTGGTTGCCGGTCAGTATCTCTGAACTGCTACATCATCATTCATCCCGCACCAACACTATGATATGGTCTTGTGCTTTCCAGATCTTCAGGGTTGTTGCCAAGTTTCTAGGCTACTCAAACTGTGCTATAAACCCTTGCATCTGTTTCATTTTCAGTGAAAATTACCGTCAAGGTCTTAAAAATCTCCTTCGCTGGGCTGTGGTTTAGCGCCGCGTTGGTCCTTTATAGTCAAAAGTCAAAATGAAAAAAGTCTTGTCATTTAACATCTCATGTACTTGTCCTTTCAATGATTACAAACATTTTTCGATCTAAATTAGACAAAATACATAAGGGTCCAGCTGCAGCTAAAAACTGATGGTTAATTAATTAATTGTTTTGAATTGCAAATTGAAAAAGACTCAGATGTACTGTAAATAAAAACGAGACATGATGGCTCTCTAACGTTAATTGAAACTTGGAATAATATTTAATTGAGACAACTTTTTGTTAACTAATTTTGTATGTTCCTTAATATATTTCAAGGAACCTTGCACGACCGCTTAACCTGTCGTTTAAACACTTTTTTTCGCCGTTTATTTGGTAAATTTTCCGGGGAAACATTTCAGACTCCCTATATGGTAATTGAAGCTAAAGATATAACGATCAAGAAGGAAAAAAAGGCCAAAAAAAAAGGAAATTAAAATCTGACACGAAAATTTACTAAATGCAGAGTAGTATTTTGAAAGCCACGCTTTGAACGCAGCTAGTTATCATCTCTTCTCGTGATAACAGCTCCATCTTCACTTGCGACAAAGGTCATTTATTTCGGTGAAAAACAATGAAGATAAAAGAAAATCAAAAACGAAGAGAAAAAGGTCGGATTTTGCTGCTCGCATCTTATATAGGGAGGATAACTGCTTCACAGCCGATCACGAAGACAAAATGTCCTTGAAATTTCTCCTTCGTATTGTGAAAAAGCCCTCCTCTATTCACTCGACTGTCTCTTACGAGTTATTTACGAATCTTATTACACGACTCGGGGAGTCAGATGGCCAATAACTAAAATCAACCAATCAAAATGCTCTATTGCCGGTCAATATTCTCTGAGTATTGGACCGGGCACTGTCCCGAATGGTCCACAATGATACCGCACTTGTGTCCCTTTGAAATTCAGTCGTATAATAAATCTCTTATTAACCAAGCTTGCTCGGGACCGTACTGGAAGAATATCAGCCCTCGGTCTTTTTTGGTCCGTACTGTCAAGACCTCGGGCCGATATTCTCCCAGTACGGCCCTCGCGCTTGGTTAATAAGAAATATGTAATATGTATCCGCTGAAGACGACTCACTCCTTTTGGTCTTGATCTTTTAAATTCACCAGAAAGGGAAAAAACCGCGCGAGCTTAATGAAAAAGCTGGTAGCAACTAGCAGCTGGACGTTAAAACTACCGAAGTGTCAGGTAAATGAGGCAGAGTCTTTTTTGAGCCGCTATCAGTTTTGGAGATAAAAAAGAAAAATTGTGAAGATATTTTGATAAACGTCAAATAAATGATTTTTTCTAGTTTTTAATGACCAAAACTTCAGAGAACATACCGAGCTCAAAAGCTGTTTCCAAACACAGCCATTGAAGTACTTTTGTTCATCTCGGGGAAGTCGGACTAAACAAGCCGCGGACAGAAAGAGAAGAGAAATTTTATTTCACATGAAGATTTTCAAAGAAATGTTGTAAGTCTTCGATAACCGGAGTTGTCGCACCAATCGGTTGGTCTGTGGTGTCTCAGCTACTTTTCTGTTGGGCTAAATAATCCTTTCTAATCTAAGATCTAGTTAGTAATTCTCCTTATGGTGTCAGTTGGGAGAATTTGGCATTGGGTTGTCTTCTTTCTTTCTTTCTTTCTTTTTTTTTTTCATCACTTTTCTGCTTGATTTTGTATTGATATTATTAGGAGAAATTTTGTCTTGGTCTCTGTATCGTATGATTGTGCTCCGGGCTGTTTCACGCTATTCATAACTGTTTGGGAATCAATTTCTGATCATTTAACACTAGACTTAAAACAAACAGGACTATTTTTTTTATTTTGCTGTCTAGAGCAATTTATAGGATGATGAAGTCCACGCTGGTTATGCCTAAAGAAACTAGGTATAGTGAAAAATTTGAATGCTAAGACCACGATTACCGGCTCAGGATAGAATCGCCATAATCGAGGCTCTTTTCTCCCGTACGAGTTTTAACCCCTACAGGCAGCTTTTGATACGAAGAAAACTAATACATGCTACAAGTATTTTGGTTTTGGCCCAAAAAAACCACAAAATTATAATTAAGAACAAAATATTTTAGATTCAGCTTCCTTTAACACATGTGAGATTCTTCAGTCACAATTTTGAACTGAAGCGAGGGTATTTTCCTCTCTCGAAAACTGCATTGCACCGCCATTGTATTGTTAAACGCAAATTGATAAACGTTAGAGGGTCTTAAAAACCTACAGCGTAAAACTCTTAGTTTAACTCGAAAGTCTTACAACGAGAGAAAACAAAACGAGGAAAGAAATGCTTTGGGATTATTTTCGACAACTGTGAACCTGTACGACCGCAATTGTAGAAACTCAATTGAAAGACTCACTTGTATGGAAATGGAATTTTTAATCATCTTATCTGCGATTTCCGTTCAACCATTCTCTGTTAACTCGTAGAAAGTTAGATTACTCTGTTGCCAGCCAGTATACAACGAAACAAAGTGATTTAATATTTTAAAAAGACATTTGTCTGTCGTAAATTAAAGCTATCTTTGCCAAATAGAGCTGTAAAAACCAAGCACGCAAGGAGAGGAAGGAGGAAAGAGGTTTAAAATATATGTTTTTCTGTTTGAAATTATTAACAACGATTGATCTGCGGCAAATGCTGAAGTGGGGTAGAAAAACTATTTCCTTTCCAAGGATATCTTAGACATTGTTACTTTCTTTTTTTCCTGGCGGCTGCGTGTATTTTTCCCCATCAAGAAGTTAGCAATAATAGTGTCCTTATTATAACCATTTAAGAAATTAGCAAGTAATTTAGCCATACAAATCATTCAGTTGTCTAAAATGATTACCAAGCTTTACACTAATTAGCTATCTTCGATATGATCACTAAGTGGATTTTTCTAAAGGTAAAAATAACTATTCACATTAACCAAACAAACGGAAACTTTTTGTCAAGAACCAATGTTTGTGGACGTCTTCAACAATAGCGACTTCGATATAATCAATACCGTATAATGCGAGCTACAAAGTTGTTACGAAAATTGCCTCTGATCTTTGATGCCGCTCAATATATTCCGCGGTAAGCCCTTTTAAAATAAAACGCTATTATTAACTTAATTAAGGTACAATGTTCCCGAGCAATCTCTTTCTTTCCCTGAAGGGTGGACAAAAACTTAATTGAATTTCCACAGTTATTAGACAAATTCAGAAACCCAACATATGCAAAGAAATTTGACACCAGCTAACGACAGGTTTATTGGCATCGGCAAATTCGAAAGAGCTTGATTTCCTGTATACATCTGGGTCGTTACACTAAACCTGCGAGCACAATAAAAGTAGTTTTTGCAAAGCCCACGCCTCAGATTTGCATGAAAATTAAACGAGACTAAAATTGTCCCTTTGTTGGCGTGATTGTTCAAGAAAATGTTAAGCCTAGGAGACTGCAAAGCAAACAGCTTTTGTGTAAGTCCTCTAAATAAGGCATCCAACATTTACAGTGTGTACTTTGAAATGTATACACACGGCTATAGTTTTTATTACTAAAGGCTTCGTTGGAGTTTGATTGCTGTTAAAGTTTCGCTTTCGATCGCGGATTGGCGCATTGTTGACAGCTCACCAAAGTTATTTATAATTTCGAATCTCGTCAAAGGACTTACACACGAACTGTGCAAATTAAAATGTGAAAAGGCTTTTGTTCGTTTGTGTACTGGTAACATTTCCTAAGTTTGATGGCGTAACAAGCTTCATTTTACCCCCCAAACGGATTGTATTTAATTTGTTAATCTCATTTGACAATGCCTGACACCAACAGGAAAAGGTGAAAATCGTCACGGCATGCCTTAAAAATCGGCCTGCAAACTTTGGTTCTCTTGAGGTCAACATAAGGTGTTAGCGAAACAGTACATGATAATCCCCGAAACCTGATATATCTGTAGTGCGATTAAACTAAGCGTTTGTTTTTGATTTGTTTCTAAAAGCCTTTGTTAGAGCAGAATGGGAAGGAGACAAATTGGATCCGAGGCTTTACTGTTCAACAACTGTGGAAAACGCTGAAATGATTGATATTATCAGACACCCCTGAGCACAACAACTGAAACTGTAATGTGGGCGATTAGTACTTTCGAACAAATTATATCGAAATTAATTCTAATTAGGGCGTGATTGTTCCACTTTGGCCTTCATTCAACCTTCATCAGCTTTCATTAACAAAAGATTAGGAAGTAATTGTCGCCGTCGCTGCCAATCACAGCAGGGAATAGTAATTGAATTTGGGAACAGTGTGTGAATAAGAGGATAGGTGAAACAACATTAAGTGACTGTAGAACGCTTCATAAAGACGACAAAGGAACGTCAGCACTAAGACGACCTAATTCATGCGAAATCTTGTGAATCTCTTCACGAAATCTTCAGCCTTGGAAAATGCAACACAGATCGTTTCGAATTGAGGACATCTTAGGGGAAGATTCTCCCAAAGAGACAACAAGTAGGAAACAAAAAGAAGAAGTGCAGATTACAGTGGTTCGAAGGCCAATTTTATTGCCTAGAATTGAGCCTGTGGCTTGGAGCCATCGTGTGAATAGTCGCTGCAATTCTTTTTCAATGTTTGGACACCGTCCCGAACCGAAGGCTTTTTCACCACCGTGGCATTATCCTAAAAATGTGCACGGATATCGAGGTGAGTGGGCGATGCTATTGGCTCGTGCCTATTCTGTACTGGCCACCCTACTTTACCTATTTCAGTCTGAGATTTAATGCTTCTTCATCTTCTTCCTAGATTGGCATCATTGTATAGATTACCGAGAATCCTTTAGACTTTAAGGAGTATTAGACTGTAGAAATATCATTTTGTCACAGCTAGGGCCTAACGAAAGGAATCAAAACGGTCCTGGATCACTGTTGGAAAGGGTATTATTGTTATCTTTTGAAAGAATAATCAGCAAAAGCCAGAAAATTTGCAACAACGTTTTGCCAAGGGTTTTAACAAATTCGTTGTGAAATACAGCGAATTAATGTTAAGGGAAACATTTGCATTCGCGCTCGAATGCCATTTAAATTAACCGTTTCAGTAAATGCCAATCAGATTGTTGGATATGACAAGATGTTTGATGTAAACCCTCCTGTTTTTTACGTCAAAGTCCCGATAAGCTAATACAAATTTTGTATGAAAAAATTAAAACCAGCATGGATGAGTCTAGCCCATCAGGTAATCTCCCATTTACCTTCAAGTTTGCTCCAATCAAGAACGTAATAAACTAGCACATGTTCAATCTGTATGGACCTTTGATTCTGTTTACTTGGTGCAAGTAAAATTTCCAGTTGATTACTTCACTGTTCGTCACTTACATACTAAATTTCTACTCAAGGGAAAAATACTAATCTTCGTCATTAAGGTTGGCTGGCAAAGGAATATGCTTTTCTCTGCTCTAACAATTTGCCGTAACTTTTACTGTGTCTCATTGGCATAGATCAGGTATCAAGCAGGGATCTTATCTTGAAAACTACTTGATTATTTAAAGACGATGTTCTCTTTTCAGTGATTGACAAACACTTTCGTTATCGGAACAAAAAACCAATTCCGAATTCTTCGAAAAGGAGTCGAACGTTGATCCTTCCGATCGATTAGTTCTTCGGATTCCTTACTGCGCCCACTAAGCTGTGGGCGACTAAATGATACAATGATAACAGATAATAAGAACAGAGGACCACAAGGTTTGATACTTCAGGTACAGAGGAGATACACCACATTCAGGCGTTCGCTTTCCAGGATAAGTTCTCTTACAAAAATGTCAGCAGCTTAAACAATCCTTTTTCGACAAGCCTTCAAAATTCTTTGCATTGAAATTTTTTCCTCGAGAAAGCAAATGTGTTTTTTTCCACTAAAAATTGTGCAGTGGCTTATAAAAATCGTTCTTTTGTATCTTGAACGTGTTGAGTTAAAACCGAGGAATTCTTTATACTGACGAGAACCCTTTAATCTGTAAGAGTGACTATCGCTTCTGAATCAAACATCAAGGTCATGATAAATAAAGGAGATAATCTCCAACTAAAGGTTTACGATTATTAAACAAATTCTCCGGCTGTCTAGAGAACAGCATGAAGAATATAGATACTGATCTTCGGGGATAGAAGCTTAAACGGCAACTTCAATTCCTCCGGCCCGCTTCGGGTCAAGTTTATTTGATTTAATTCGGGCGATGAAGCTTAATATGAGCCTTTTCGTCGCTCAAAAAGCTTTCAAAAGCTAATGTCCTTATATTAAAGTTGTTTCAGGCCCTCAGGAATTCCGGTTACTTAGGCTGAAACGATCGACACGTCGCCACAAGTTGGTTTTAAGGCAATTAGGTAACAAAGGCACTGCGATCTTTAGAAACCCGGATGTTTTGAGGTTTGGGGAAAAAGTTATCTCACACGGTATCATATTTTTTCCACTCAACAGACTGCTCTCACGATTTTTTCAACGCTAGAAATTTCACCTTGAATGGCAAACAGCGACGACCTCGCACAGCGTTCTCCAGTCACCAGCTCCTCACGCTTGAACGACATTTCCAAGCCCAGAAATACTTGACTCGGCCGCAGCGATACGAGCTCGCTACCAGTCTCATGCTTACTGAGACGCAAGTCAAGATATGGTTTCAAAATCGCCGAATGAAATGGAAAAGATGCAGCAAGAACATAAATGGGCGCAGATCAATGAAAAATAACGTAGAAGTTGTCACCGATAGTTCGATGACACAAAGATTAGATGATTGATATTTTATCACAGCTAGTGATGAACTTATGCTGTAAATATTCATGACATAAACTCGCGTTACTGAAATGACTGCTTTTGTCCAGAAACAAAAATGAAATTGTTACTCTAATGGATAAAGTCACCTTAAAATCGCACTTGGAATACCCCTGCCCTTAAGTCCTTCCAATCCTCCACGTCGGTTGTCGGTGAGTTATCGATAAGCAACAAGCAAAACTTACCGCTTCAATAATACTACGCAAGAGCCATATCTTGCACTACGCTGTTGCTTTCGTGATAGATTTTATTGGTTACAAAGCAATTATCTTAAAGGAACCAGGTGAATGAACACTAGACCCATTGAAGGGCTAATCTCCTGGACATGACGCTATCTCGTGAAAATACGCTCAAACGAGCATTAAGTGCGCGAACCGTCGAACGGTCGGAATGAAAGACTTCTTATCTTCGCCATTTGGACTTCTTTACACTGAGTCTCGTCAAGAAGGAAAGCGCAGCTTGCACAAAACGATAAATGCATACACAATGAAGAAACCTACAGTCGACTAGGCCTGACTTGATGAAATTAATGAAATTAGCTACGCACATGAACATTTTTCGTGTATGGGTACAGTAACCGTACCCGTACACTGATTTCGGGGTATCTTAAAGTCTCTAATGCTTTCTGTGGTGTTTTGAGTTAGTTAATGTTCTTTTTCCAATTTTTCCGCTCAAGTAACAGCCACTCACGGATACTACACGGGCCCCTGGCCATTTCTAACGATTATAATCAAGACATCTGTCGCTGATGGGTCCACGAAATCGTGTTAAATGTTTTCAGTCGAATTTCACACACTTAAAACGGGTTCTCTCTCCATAGGCCAGCTATATGGATTAACAATTAAAAACAAAAAACAGGAGTGACTAATGTTGTAAGTATCTTTAAATACTTAACTTTCTTTGTTTTGCATATTTTTGCCAATCTGGCACGCATGTACTGGACTAAAAAATTAAAATCAGTTTTGTACTGGACTTACAAATCACACCGCAAGCATTTTTTATTTGGTAATTTTGGTTTTATCAACTGAGTTGATAAAGTAAATTGGCCACCGTAAAGAGTTCCAAAGCTGACTTTTTGAGTGTTAGCCCTTCGTCATTCGCTCTGACGAAGGGCTAACGCTAGAAACATCAGCTTTGAAACTCTTTACGGTGGCCAATTTACTTTATCAACTCAGTTGATAAAACCAAAATGACCTTGTTACTCCCACCGATGCAGCAGCACAGTTTCTTTATTAACTTACCCCCTTTATACATTCATCTTTTATATGGGCGAACATACCTGTTTCTGAACTGTTTTTAGAAATTGTCATTTTTAAGAATTGAAAGTAACTTTTTCTCTCTCCCATACATTACAATTCTTGGCGAGCAGTTCGCTTGACATCTCTTGCGACGCGGTAACTAGTTGCACGTAGCAAACGCGTGATAGCTATTGAGTTGATTGCATTGTAGTCACGCGTTTTTTCTCCGTGCGGCGAGTGATGCACCACTCTTTCGAATTGTAAAAATTTGCTAATTTTCCTCAAAGGCTTGCATGTGGCTTTTCCCCTTTTTGTGGATCTTGTTCAACTGTTACACCACTGAAAAAACCAGAAGAGTATCGCAAACTCTTCTTACGCTGTGAAATCGATTCTCGGTCGGACTTTCCGAATTCTTCTTCGAGTCTTCTGCGAGAACGACGTGACTTACGTCGCGAGGAGTCCAGGGCTGTGTCCCTTGAACCATAGAAGTGGTCTTCTTCGAATGGCGACTTTTTCTGTAACAGATAAGACTTGAAAGTTAGCACATAGGTAAAAATGGAATTCTAAGTGAAATTACGACCTGATATAGGATTCAATTAAGCCGTGACTTTCCCAAGACGTAAATTGTAACGTGCGTAGCGAACACTGTAACTTACATAAGCCATGACTTGTGTAAGACAAAGGTTTTGAGAAAGTCCAGAATGAGCCGTAGGCGAGGAACACTCGTGTAGAGCAACTTGTTTGCGGACTATTTATAAATCGAATGCAAACTCAGACTTCACCGTGACACAGTATTTTAACACTTGTTTGTCAAGCATGGTTTCCCTTCTCGTGGCGAATCGTAATTTTGGTTCAATGGATGAAGTCTAGTGCGTCTATTCGCAGTGGCATAACAACAAATACATTCTCTTTTAACTGCGTAAAAACTACCTTGTTATCGTAGGGTCTCTGATGCACTGATTCTCGTGATTCTGGCTGATGGTACCCAGAATGCATAAGGGGCTGTCGCTCAGGGATCTGTTGTAGCTTGGAATGACTCGACAACAATGTGTCGGCACTCTTACGCATGTTCGACCTGGAATATCTTCGTTCTCCCATAGCCACGTCCGGTTCTTCGGCTCCGTCCGGACGCCGATCGCGATCGCTGGTAGATTCGTAGGCGCCCAATGAATAATAAGATGAACTTCCTTTCCGAGAAGGAAACGCTCGTAGTTGGATCACATCACCTCCAGGAGAGTCTGGAATTGGTTGACTTTCAATTTTCCTGAAAACAAAACAACTTGCTGGCGAATGCTTTTTGGTAACTGATAGATAAATCCTTTGGAAAAGCGTGACCGCCGGAACCTATGCGCGCAATTTAAAATGTTGTCTTTGCTAGAGCACGTTTGAAATTTTACTTGGTTCACGACATCATTTCAAGCTAAGAGATGCTGAGAATAACTAGAAAAAATAAGTGTACGTTTTATGGTAAAGCTTCAAGTAAGGCTTACGCCGTAATTTTATGTCTGAAATTTCTTGTTCTGTTCCTACCTTTTAATTGCGGTGTCCATTGGGGCGGGTGTGTCCATGATAGGGGGTGGATATTCTTCCTTATTATCAAAGACCCCGGATGTGGTGGAGCCAATCCGGGAAAGTCTCTTGGACGAGCCTCGAAGATCTGTGTTTGACTCTTTGATAGAAGGTCTGGTCACTTTGTATTTTGCATCCACTGTATTCGCACCGTAATACTGGAAAACGAACCAGCAATAAATCCTCGAATGAGCAAAACTCGCGCCAGACAAGACTGCCAAAAATATTCAATGTTAAAATGGCTTATTAAACAAGCTACAGTAAACTTTAAGTTTCCAAATCAAGAACAAACAAGGAGTAAGGTATTATATCATCCCCTTAGTAGGGACACAACGTAATCACAAGAAAACTCCCTCGTAGTTGCACTGTATTGCTGCGCCTATTCAATGGTAGCCATTTATAGGAAGTACAACACTTGTGGCCCAGGTAGCCAGATACATCTATTAGAACCAGACACTTTAATCAAGCGATCAAATGCATCAAACCTGAACCGTATCGGTGGTACTGTAATAATTCCGTTTTTCTCTGCTCTGCATTCTTTTAATCTGATAGTGGAACGTAAAGTTTTTGACCTAAAATGCACAAAACTTATCATGTTAAAAATAACTCACTAAACTTGGTGCCTAGTACCGCCTCGCTTTCATGTAGTTTTAAACACTCCCCCATTTCAAGCTTAGAGAGAACTTCCCATTTTCACTTAACCAATTAGAGTACAAAGTTGAAAAGACGACATAACATAACCCCATTGTAGGTTCCAAAAGTTAAACAAAGTAGGGATCGCGGGTCGTGTTTTAACGCCGGGGGGGGGGGGTCCGTAGGTTTTCTGGTCGCTTTACAATAAAAGTGACCTGATCCCCTGGTCCTCCCATGAGGCTCTTTGGTATTCTAATAGTCCCCCCATTTGCGACGACGCATCTCCCCTCCGTTCCCCCTAAAAACCATGTAATTCCCACAAAACGCTCCACTCTCCCTACTCCCCACGCGATAAATAATGATTGGTCTCTAAGGAATAAAAAAAGAAGCAAAACAAAAAATCAACTTACGGTCTGATTCAGGAAACAATAAACAAAAAGTAAAATTCCCTACAACAAAATAAAAGGTGTTAATAATGAAACTGGCATTGTACAATTTAACTTTCGTAGTTCATTTTGATTGACAATAAAAGTGCAATCATGAATCTTAATTTACCTGCAGTAAACATGCGGCCGCGAACAAGTACTGCCACAAGCTCGTCTCGTGATGTTTGACATAAATGGCGGCTATGACCCAGGTCCCCGCGATGGCAATAATGAGGAAAAATAGGAACAAGACTGACAGACTGTGGAGAGGAAAATATCGCTGGTTAAAAACATTCGAGTGGTTACTATAGAAAAGACAGCATTGAACTTTTGACTTTCAGTTGATAACTTTACAGACTCTTGGTGCAATGGTGTGGATGAGACCCCGATGTGGGCCTACATTTTTAAAACTGAACTGCAAGAAGTCATAAACGTTACTAGTTCCCTTGCTTAAGATAGAGAGAATTAATAAAACAAGGAAATTTGTGAGCGAGCAACCGTATTCCACTAAACCTTAAGAGGAGTTAGTGTTGGTTATTCAATCAGCGAAATGAAGCGTTCGATGAACTAACGAAGTTATACTTGCATTCGTGTGTTAGTTCTGTGGTATTTTGATCGGCTGAAAAGCTTGCGAACATACAAATCTCAAGGAATTCGAAGAAAGTCGTAGTTCGATTGCTGCTTCTAATATTATAACAATCAACAACAGCTTGATGTCAAACTAACCAGACTTTTCTTCTGTCTTTAGAATCAACAACTCGTCCCATGTAACAAAGGATCATCACCATTAACACGAGAAGAACCTGGAATGGATCATTGTAAACCTGATTTAACAGGATTATATCATATAATAAATACTGAAGAATTTGAATATTTTGACCTACTTTACTTAAAGTAAGTGACGAAAAGCTATTTGATGTTAAAAGAACTGTATAAGAATGTAACACGGCGTGAAATGACATTACATGTCGCCTAAATGTTTTACACTCTAACATCAGTTCGCGTTTTCTCCATACTGTCTCTATATATTTCTTATAGAATTGACAAGGAGAATTTATTCCACAATCAATAGCTTCTTTATTTGGCGATCATTTCCTATATTCTCAAGACTTAAATGATTGACTTAACTGTGATACTGTAAAGAGAATTTGATAGTAGTCACCCTTTGGGGTTCCAGTCTGAGTGCCGCAACTATCTCGGGAGTGGCTTACCAAAGTGAATCCAGCGGCTGGACAAACGTACGACCACATTAACACGTGTGAATAATCTAGCCAACACCTATCCGAAAGAAGATCATTTGTTAGTTTCAGCCCCGGGTTAGTCTGTGGTTCTTATGCGCACGACAGACGGAGGTAATGGTGAGTGGAAGAGAAGGGAGAAAAAATGTAGAGAAGTTTTGCAAAACTTTCCTTTTGCTGGAGAGCCACCGTGTGCATGTGTTTCGTCATTCCGCGCCAAAATCAAAACAAACAGACAATCAAACAGACACAAACCAAACCAAAGCCAAATAAATGCAGTTTAAGAAAAACCAGAAAAGTTAGTAACCTAAAAATTCTTTGTCTTTCCAAATGAAACGGAAATGAGGTTATTCATCGATAGAAATGTGGTTATTCACCGATAGAGGCTCAACACAAGACACAGACCTAACAACGTTAAAACGAACACAAAAAGGACTAACCATTCACCGTTCCCATAACCTTGTAACTGCGTGATGCCGAGAGAGACTCCAACAGCAATCAGCGGAAAAACTGTGGAATAGATTGAAAGAGTTATTACACAAATACTAAATGGCGAAACAGTGAAAGGTGAAAGAAAGAAAAAAAGGTATTCGTTGATATGATTACAGAGGTAGAGTTTTTATCATTTTTAAATTGGCAGCTATGTACCCTTGGCCCCACGATGTTTGCTCGTTAGTGAATCGAGATCTAGTGGTAATAGGGGATGGGTGAGAGCGTCCTTTATCTTACCAAACAAACTATCCTGGTACCTCCCCTCGGTTTTGGCGTAAAGTTTTAAATAGTAACCAAACAATAACAAATAAATAAATGAATAAATAAATAATTACAACTAAATTAATAGCTACATTACATTTTGTCACTATCGATAAACGACGTAAACGGAAGAAAATTCAGTTTCAACTCACTCCAACCGATGATGAAGAAATACTTTAGTCTGGTCGAGTTCTTATTTTTTCCTGTAGCTAGAGTCATGAACAGTTGAAGTCCTTCACAAACTGCCCAACAGAACATGGCGATGAAGAAAAAATGAAGTAAAGCTGCCACAATGGTACAAACCACCTGGAAATGAAAGGCCACAAATCATGGTTGGTTGAGTAGCAGCTAGGGGGTTTGATCAAAATAGTCTTTGAAGTTACAATTTTAAACAAAAATGGGATTTCATTACTTAGCCGCGTATGAAACTTGAGCTACCATGATCTCGTTGGAATCATACATACAGGAATCATACATACAGGAATCATACATACAGGAATCATACATACAGGAAAGAATATGGCTGTAAAATAACGGGATGCAAATTTTTCAGCTTTCTGTAACAGTTGACAGGTAACAATATACGCTCCTTGGGGAAAAGAAAAATCGTAAGAGTGAAGCGTCTTGTCAAAGAAAACAACAAAGCGAGGCTGAGGCTCGATACCAGGCTTACACGAGGAGATCAGCATACTAGCTGCTGGGCCACCTTATTCCCACAAAACTTATACAATATACTCACCGGAATTTTCGTCAGTCTGAGCCCACCAAGGAAAAGGGCTATGCCAGCGGCTATGGCCAAACAAAGGTTAATGTGTATGATGGACCGTTCTGCACGACGCTTGCTGAATATATGAAAAAGAAAAAAAAACATACAGGAAGGTTAAAACTACTGAGAATCGACTGATGACAGGTAATATATCTACACATTTCAGTAAAAATTACGTTTGGGAACTGACCAGTACAGGTAAAAGTGTCGTATCAATGCCACATTTACAGCTAACAGCAGCACTCCACAGCCGATGTATATAATAAAGCTAAAAGTAAGTTCCTAGAAAGAAACAAAAGAAAAAAAAAATATGAAATAATGTATTTAAATCATGCAAAATTTCATCCTCGTTGAAGTGGGTGTTGTATCTTTATAGAGCAAAAACATTTGCAGGTTTACTTACAGCTGAAAGCAACGTTTAACAATTACAGATAAAAAGTCGGTCGTTACTAGTCTCCTAAACAAATAAATGACTAAAGCAATGTTGTCATAAACTGACAAGCTCAGACATGGCTTACTCTGTGTGCTCTACTCAATAGCTAACTTGGGGGTGACCGCTGACCAAACCCTCACTTCTCCTCCCCACCCTCCCGCTCCTTGTAACCCGTTACGTGAGTGTGACATTAGCAACAGCTCGCGATCGTGATAACGCTTACCTTGTCATACACAGACAGCAAGGCAAAGCTGGTTAGGTGATTACATTCGCATACTGTGCCGTTCCTACCACTGGACACCACTTGGCAGCCATCTGATGACCAACTTCCTCCGAGATCCTTGGATCTAAGGGGATTATATCAAATCATCAAATCACGTATGTTGTTTCCTTCATACTCTGCTTCAAAGCTGGAGATCTTTGACTCGTAGAGACAAGGCATTTTACAGAACCTTCACCTCAACCCCCTCTGTTTGAGTACAGAAAGTTTCATATCTAAGATTCAAATTGGCGACAGCTGCGGGCTACTTAGCAATTATTCCACGAACGTGCGTTGGATATGAGATGATGGATAGCCAACGAGGCCTGTAAAGCCGAGTTAGCTATAATTAACCCATATCCAACAAGCGCAAGTGGAATAAACGCCCCAAAATATTGATAGATCTTCCAAACTTTATTTTGTTAGAGCAAACGGAACGTTAAATTGTATTAAAACATTTTCGATTTATCTCGTCTTCATGCACGCGCATCGCATGCATGTTCATAACCCATGATGGCTGGACCAATAAAAACTCTTGAATTGCATTATCTAAGGATCCAGTTTTTTATTTTTTGATAATACATGTTATTCTACATTGCACAGCTCCTATAAATCAAATATTTCTGGCAACTTACTTTTCAAAGTCCCAGTAGACGCATTTTTCTACAGCTTCGATGTCTGATGGCTAGAAGATAGTAAATTAATATTAACAACTTAATATTTAATAACCAAGGTCTTTCTAAAGATTTCTTCCAATGGCAGCGAACAGAAGGAGAGAGTGTTAAAATGTAATGCGGAATAATGTGAAATGCAGTAAGCTACGAACTGGAACAAGAGCGACTGATGCTCGTTTCATAGTAACACGAAACAAAACTTAGTGAACCGTCAACGGCTCTTCTGTTATGTTAAAATTCTTACACATACCAAAATTGTTCGTGGAAAAAATGTGGTTTCCTTATATTTGTTCAGCTTAAAATAGCGTCGACAGGAAGGTGATCTTATGAAAGGGTGTTCTCGTTAAGTTGACTTCGGTTGCAATCGTTGAAGAAGTGGGAAAGACTACCTTTTTATTCCTCGTTGTGATGATTATGGATGGGTCCAGTTTCCCCTCTGAAGGAACAGGAGACAAGGAGCTGGACACTATCGGCGAACTCACATCAAACCTACGAAGCAATAATTTAACGAATTCATTACAACAAGAGAAAATGAAGGTCCCATTTTCTTCTCCAATAAAGGTTAAGGTCAGGGTTAAAGATAGGGTTAGAATTAGAAGTTTGCAGGCTTACTTCCTGAATCCCTCTCCTCTCTTTGGCAGAAGTTCACCCAAATCTTTAAAATAGAAACTCGTCACTTTAACGGGCAAGTCGTCTGAATCATAAAAATAGCATGGAAGTTATACCGGCGATAACAAGACACTGATCTTCACCGTACAATAAACATGACGAATTTTTTAAAGTTTTGAACTAACCTTTGTATTTGGCAAACAGTTCTTGAGGCAAACGAATCCGCGCTGACCCATCGTTGCTCTGTTCGGAGCTTTGAGGATACTCTACATCAGTCGAAAACTTGTTCGCATCTTTAACCATCACTTTCATTCCTACAAACACAAGAGGCAAACAAAAGTAAAACACTTTGAAAATTCAGGGCTTCTGCTCGTAACTGAGCGTAACCACAATAAACTGATGAAATTTTAGAGGATTGAAAATGTTCCACGCAACCGTTTTATTGCCATACTCACCAATTCTATCCATTTTGATATCAACAGTGGCATTCTCCGAGCTTTGTTTCTCCAGATCTGAGGCTAGCTTCATAGCAAACTCGTCTAGTAACGCCATTACCTCAGTTACACCCTTGGAATCCTGTAACAACAAAGAACTTGTTTGTTATGGAGCAACCCGCATCAAGTAAAGACAAGCAGACCGTGCGAATATAATTATCTGCTTTTAAAACCTTTACTTGATTCATGTGCGTTACACACGATCCTTCATCCTGAAAATTACTTAGCCTCGTTTTTAAAAAAGTCTCCTACATCTAAAGCAACCCTTGTTCCTTGCTTTCAGTACCCTACTTTTTCAACAGGATTTTGTTTTGTCTTTCTTTTGGAGTGACAAAAGCTTTCTCAGCGCAAAGAGAGGAAGTTACTGTGGCTTTGTTATGTTCACGAAAGTAATTTTAGCCAGGAAGTATACCTTTTGTAGTTCACTCCACTGTTCTTTGTTTTTCTTATCCAAGATGTTACTGGAAATTTGTATGACTTGCTGAAAAAATGGTAATAACAACATTATAATCCTGGTACCGGCGACACGTACCATATAATTTTCCCTAATGCAGCCGGTTTCTATTAAGTATCAAGGATTTTGGCCTTTGGACAAGCTGGGGGCCTTCTCAGTCCTTTACATACCACAAAAATCAAATAGTAAGAATGTTTCCACAACGACACAGTAACAGCCGTGTATAGTTTACCTTGGCAGTAGCCATTCGTTGTTTGGAATTCAGATTTGACAGAGCAGTGTCCATCCCCTGAACAATCATCACCAGGTCACCCGCCATCGGTTGTCCGGAGCCTGGGGAGGAGGAGTTAAGAACGGTAGCCAGAAGATCCTCAGCAGTGATGTTTTTATCATCAAATTGTTTAAGCTGTCCAAGACAAGGTAAGGAATAAATTAGAAAAAAAGAAAACTTGTCAAGAAATTCAGAAAATCTGTTGTCCTCTGCTTCTACACCGAGAATGTATCAGTCGCCGGGCTTCTTGAGTTTAACATCTCATTGTAAATACTCTGGCAGGAGAAATAAACATTACAGAGAATTTTTATCAAAAAACAAAAGATTACTTTTTCATCCAGAATAGTCATCTTGGCTGAGTATTTCCACACTTTTCCATCGGATCCAGTAACAGTACGTGTTTTCTCTTCTGAAAATTCAATAGATTGACTAATTCAACCATAAATAAACAAATTGCCCAATATATTTTGTTTCACGGGAGCTACTTACCCATTTTGCAGGTAATATTAATGCTGTTAGCTGAGGAAATGGGTACACGATTTATCACATTTGTGTCATGTTTTAACTAAGAACTGCATATAACTGTTTAATTTGTACCTTTACACTCCGTTACGCCCTCTCCTTGGAATCTTTCCTTGCATCTGCATATGAATGAACCAACAGTATTGACGCAATCAGCATTCTTGTGGCAAGGAGTTCCCTCTCTACATTCATTTTTGTCTGATAAAAAAGATATTGCTGGTCAAAAGTTGACATAGTGTGACTTCATCTTAACAGTACTTTAGCGAAGTCAATGTGATGATAAACTTCGCTCCGACGAAGGGCTAACGCTCGAAACGTCAGCTTTAATAATCGTAACGGTGGCCAATTTACCATTTCAACTTTGTTGATATATTCAAATTATTTCGTTACCCCCACCGACGCAGCCCTAAACAGTTTCTTTAGAAACTATCAGCCTTTATTAAAAAAAAGATGAAGTTGTTATTTGTGATTCTTTCCCACAAAGCACCCCAATTCGTGGATTACCTGAGTACAAAACAGTGACTCAACTTACTTTATGAAACTTATCGGCTCGAGAAAGTGATGTTCGTGGGTGGCTAATTGTATGGCTCTCGGACGAACCTTTTTTATTTTGAATTTTCCGGCTCTCACGACCAAAAATACGCGGCTCATGACTGTTTCTGTGTTTCCGTTTCTATTTGACTGACTCGAGCGGATTTTTCCAGCGCCACAAAATCATCTGCGTTTATGGAGAAATGTTAACTTACCTTGACAAGAAGGATTGGGAGTACTCCATTGGGTGTCTTTTCCACAAGTTACACTCGATGGACCTAAATTCGCCAGTTTGTATCCCAAGTCACAGTTGAGCAAAACTGTCTCGCCAATGCGGTAACTTGGTTTATTTGGCATCCATTTTCCATTACCATCTTGCGATGGTGGTAAACAAACAGCTGAAACAAAACCAGGGAGAAACGTGTAGATAATTAGAGAATGAGTGAAAGAATAGAGGAATGGCTTTTTCGTCAGCCGTTTAAATACTGCTATGCACATGTCAGTAAATAAATATGTGATAGATGCAAGAGGACAGGTTGCCCTTTTACGTATAAATAAAGCGTCTAATTAAGAGAAACTGCTGTTTTGGAAATCAATTCGCAAGAGGCTCAAGGCTAGTTAGAGAAGACAGTGAGAAACAAACAAAAAAAGTAAAAAAAAAATAGAGAAATGAAAATAGAAAAATGAAAATAGAAAAATGAAAATAGAAAAATGAAAATAGAAAAATGAACAGCAGTATTAATTGAGGAAAAGAGGAGGAGGTGTGGAAGAGCATGATGGTCTCCGTCATTTAAAGGGAAGGGGGCCTGACTAAGTTTTTGAAAAACTGGTAACGCCTTTCTTGGTTTGCAGTTACGCTTGAATTTGCCTCCGGTAAAAGCAAATTGAGAATCGAGATGCTTCTCAGGAGATGTTTTCCAAAATGATACAATTTCTATTTCTTTTTTGTAGAGGACGTCTTCCTCTTATCACAATCTGAGGCTCTTGCTAAGAAATGCAAGGCAGCGAAATCCTACTCCTTCTTTCGTCCTACTATCTACCTACCAGTACAAGAAAATCCATCACCAGCATATCCCCTCCTGCATTCACAACCAAATGAGCCCACAGTGTTCACACAGCGGGCTTTGTCATGACAACTTCGAATCTTCGTGCTATTCTGGATAACTGACCGTGATGAAAGGATCGAACATTCGTCGAGATCTGGCCGGAAATAAACATTAACGTAATTGAAAAGTTTCATCTTGATAGCCTCTAGACTCTGAGAGACACATAAGTCATTTACCTTTCAAAATGTTGTAAAATTTTCTGAAGCATTTAAGGTAAAGTGACAGGAATTTGCGCAGAAGCAGCAATTCTAATCTGGATGTGGCTGCAATGAAAACATAATTTACCAAGGACCGACAGCGAGCCAAGAAAAACTGAAGGCGGTTTGGTTGCCTTTCTTAAGAACTGAACGTACTACATCGCATTTACTCGGGAAATATATGGTATCCAACTGCAGGTCGGGAAACCTGAACACACTCCATGACAACAACACTTAATTTCTCCCAACTGCGACCTACCCCCCCACCCCCACTTCTTTAATGGCATAAAATTAATTGATCCTGTTTCCTACCGGTACACTGAGGGAAGCCTTTGTTCCAATTCCCATCTGCCTTGCACGACAGATTTCCATCTTGTTTCTTCTCAAAACCTGGTTTACAATCCACGATGACCTTTTCTCCGACTGCAAAGAACTTGCGATCTGGTCGGTGAATTGCGTTGGCTTGAGAATCAATTCTACAGGCAGCTGGAGTTCAAATGATCAAGAACTTTTAATTTCACCTTAAAACAACACAAATGATGTCATGAAATTTAAGAAAGATCACAGGTATTGATCGACCGACCGGCGCCGGATCGACCAACCAAGTGACTGGACTGATTAACTGATTCACTGACTGATTGAGTGACAGGGTCACTGACTATTCGACTGAATTACAGGGTGACTATCTGACTGACTGAAGGGTTGATTGATTACCTCAGTTATAACAACTGAACTTACTGTAGACGCTTATTGTAATTTTAGCTGTGGCCGTCTTCACAGTATTGGTTGCCAAGCAGGTGTATTGACCTTCATCAGACTTTTGGATGTTTCTGAGTAATAAGCTGCCATTTTGTAACTGCTCTAAAGGCGGTTGCACAGAACCAACTTTGGTCCACCTGATGGTTGGCACAGGGTCCCCAACCGCTTGACAGTTGTACACAGAAGAGCTTCCGGATGGTTCCGCTGAGCCGAGGGGCTGGACTGTGAATCTAGGAGGAACTACAGGAGAGATGTGCATAGTGTTGGTGGCGTGAATAATTTAAAAAGTGAATAGTTATAAGCAGGAAATTTTTCAAATGAGCGTTGAAAGGGATTCAGAATTGCATTGGATTCGTTTGCCTTCTTTCGGACAACTGATAACTCAGGAAACTCGCACTACCCCCCTAACTAATGAAATACACAACGACAACCAATCAACACTTACCTGCTCACGTTTTCTGGAGCTTGGGGGGGGGGGGGTTAATTAGTTTACAATGAAATGTAAGCGTTTCCCTCTAACATATTTCCCTTCTGGTAATTGGTCTAAATAGTTGCCTTGGTTTTGGTTTTTCGACGTGAGAAATACGATCTCATCAACTACAGGGAAAATTGGGGAATTTAAAACCAACTAAACTGCAACGGAGAAGCAAAGTTTGAATTCTACACCTGTAAAGTTTAAATTTTTAAGTACATGTGCGTGGACAGTTCTATAAAAGTCCAAAGTTGGTCCCATAAAGTGAACGCCTCCTTACAACGTAACTAAGTGANAATCCACATCACGAGATAACTGTGATGTGGTCTGGCCTGTTTACTGGGAAGGGGGGAGGGGGCATCTGTAAAAACTTTCTCCTTTATTAATTGTAAACTGCCGCCGGCAGTCTGGAAAAGTCCCCCGCACAGTGTTGTAAAGCGCATTAGAACATTTGGAAATACGCTATAGAAATCGATCTATATTATTATTATTATATTATAAGTAAATCCTGGCATAACCTTTTACAACTTTGGAACATACCTAGCACACGCATAAACGCTGTGACATTGTTGTATCCTATGGGGTTTTCTGCTCGGCAGTGATAATTTGCTTCATCTTTTTTCTGCACACTGCGTATACCCAAAGACCCATTGGGGAAAATGTTGAACCGTTTGTCCAACTTAAGTACAGACGTTGCTGTAGAAGATCCTTTCACGAGTTGAAACCAGGAATACTTTACTCCAAGGTCACTGACTGCTTTGCAATCAAACATGACTGTTTTGTTTACCGACGTTGTCAAGTCACTAGGACGTTTCATAAAATTAGGCGGCTCTACAAGGAAACAAATTTCACATAAAATGGTAAAAATGAGGTCCTTCCTTTGTTCTCAATGATTTCCACGCTAACTATAACTACAACGTCTTTAAAGGGAACTTTTCAGACAGTTATTCTGTCCTTCTTCAAGAACTTGAAAAAAAAAACAACAACAACAACAACAACAAAGACGATTTTGTTGCAATTGCATCTGAACACCTGAACACATTTTAGGTGAGTTGTGCAGTCGAGATAAGAAGCAATTTCAATAGACAGTAATTAACAAATGCATGGTAACCCCCTTCCTTCAAAAATTAAAATCCAGAAAAGCGTCCATAGCAAAGCGAGCGAGGGAAGATGGCCTTGAAGCTGTTCTCAAACTGTTTCATGCTAGCTGACAAACAATACTAAAGTTCGACAGTCAACAGCGTTACGAATCAACTAAAAAATCATATTACGCGAGCTATTCGTGCTATACCCATCTGACCCTTCCCATGACCCAAAGGGTGAACTTAATTTGGGTTGTCGAAACTTATCAGTCACTATAACTAACGATATTCGTTTTCAGAAAGGCCATCAATCGAACGATAAAACTATAAGGAGAAATTATAGACGACTATTCTTCTTACCTGCAACTTTAATCGTAATGTCCTGTATCTTAAACCCTCCAGAATTGACAGCTGTGCAGTAGAAATCCCCTTCATAACTTTTCTTAGCCTTCCTCACAAACAACGATCCGTTAGAAAAAGGCACAAATTCCAGATTAGGAAGGTGGTCCCCATTGGGCCAATGAAGAGATTTTGTCCAAAACAATTTTGCTCTTGGATCGGAAACAACTTGACAATGGATCAATCCTGGTTTATTGAGAGTAAGGTACTGGGGACTATTCCTCTTGAACTTTGGTCTGATCGGCTGGAGTCCTGTGCGATATATGACAAATATGAATTTTTTTTTTTCTCGCAAGTAACAGAGTTCATCCATCTTCTTAGTTTCACCATTCCTAAAAGGAAGCCGGCCAAGGATCGGTGAAAGCTCAGAAGTTTAATTAACAAAATACAAATTTTAGCCTTAATTGAAACAACATCTACCATAGACTTAGCTATTTCCCAACGTACCGGACTGTGTGGTTTCGAACAAATAACGAGAACCGCAAGGAGACAGAATCAAGTTGTTTCCAGCATCCAAATTGACACATAATCCGCCGGCTTGGTGGCTGATTATAATAGTACCATCAGGGTTCTCGTGTTTTGCAAATGTATCACAAGGTCCATCTCTCAAGGCAAGTTGATCTTTTGCATTCTTAAACACACACTTGCCACTGCAGCTGTGAATAAGGCTTCCATCGCGACGAAAAGCCATCATCACCCCCTCCCCCTGACAGAAGGATTGCAAAGTGAACAGGGAACCGTCTGATGTCTCGCAAGGATTGGAACTCGTTTTTGGAGACCAGCAGTTTTTGGTTGAGCTACTTCGGATGATGACAGAGACGATATCTGTAACGAGGCGAAGTACATCATTGGATTAAAAGTTAATTCCAATATACGTTTCAAGTCGACAGCTCTTAGCATCGCCATATTCTCAAAATTTTCCATTGATCGTAAGGCTTCGACCTCCTGTCTAAGTCACTATCTTATAATCCCAACATTATAATCCTTATGATGTTGGTTTATATTTAGTTAGTTATCTATCCTTTTTTTTTTATGCAGATGTATAGCTACTCTGTAGATAAACTGGAATAAACCGTTATTATTATTATTATTATTATTATTATTGGCAGTACAAACGTTTGGATGCCCAGAGTAAAGATTAAAAGCTTAGGCTGCATGGGCGGCAAACCGTAACCAGCCACAGCATCGACTAAAACTTATGACAACATTTACCTAATAATTTACGCAAAAAAAGAAAAGCAAGCAAACCAACACACACACAAAAAAGAAAACCTGATCAAAAATGATTTGATAAGATTGTCATAAAAATATATAAATAACTAAATTAAATCCTAAAGGCTTTATGGACGTCTTTATTACAAAATAAAACTGTTCATAAGTTGAAAAACATCGTTCATATAGCTGACCATTTTTATATTATTATTATTATTATTATTATTATTATAAGTAAGCCTTTTCCATACTTTTTATGTTAATAATTATGCATCTATTAATTAGTTAATTTGGTTAGGCAGGGGACGTTAAAGAACCCACTCACGAGATTACTGTGATGTGGTCTGGCCTGTTTACTGGGAATTGGGGGAGGGGGCATCTTCAAATAAGTTTCCTTCGATTGTTTGTAAACTGCTGATGCAGTCCGGCCAAAGTCCCCCGAAAAGTGTTGTGATCAGCATTTGATCATATCCACATGTTAATTTGCGCAATATAAATATTAAATTGTTAAATTGTTATATGAGCAGTTCCGGTAAATTTTCGACGTGGGTGGATAAGACGATAGCTGAACTGAAATACTGTCTAAGGATACTTAGAATCAAAAACTGGAGGTTTTATAGAGACCACGGTTGAGAACCAACGCTAATCAAGCTCAGTGCCTAGATTCTGTGTGGACTGGATGAGACGAATAGCCCTCTAGTTGCTATGATCTTAGCCAATGAGTAATTTTCTGATCAGGCCTTCTTTCAAATGGATAATTTGGTTTGAGCAACTGAGTTGATAATGTAAGTTAGCCACCGCAAAGAGTTTCAAAGCTAAACCATTCACCTCCTTTTAAAATCTCACCTGTAACACATCCATATAGTTCGGCACGTAAGCAGATTGTGTTTGTAGGACTGCTGTACAATCCTGGTTTAATTCTTACATAGCGTGCTCGAAATCTCTGATTAAACCAGTTTGTTACCACATTATGTTGGTCTTCGTTGCCATCAAATACCTGAAAATGTACATGGAAGGGCGATCAAAGGCAATATCTGAGAATCTGCGTACCTAGCCCCCACCTAAGCGCACAGTTGCCCAGATGCTAAGATTGATCCGGAATAGGCATACTAATGAATCTTATGTGAGCAAAATGCTTAATAAGGAGCTCGGAAGTTGTTTTTGATGTCCTTGGCATCTTTCGTTTAGTTGTTATGTAGTGTTACTTTCAGCGGAGGTCGGACAAGTTATCGAAATTTTGTAGCAATCGATATGACTGCGTTACGCTCAAACATCTAATCTTACAACAGCAATCATAAATATCATCTTTTCCTGAATCCAACATATATAATCATGCACGATCCGGATGTTAGAGAGTCATCGAATCGGAACTGAATGACCTTCACTTTTAAATCTTGAAAATAACTTTTCCTCATCATTTTCTATCAGGTTTCAGATCCCTCTCCATCCAACTTTACTCCCATCCATTTTTAAGTCCCTTAACACTCACCTGGTCAGATCCAAACTCCTTGTAGTCCTTCCAGTTTGTTCCATCCGTACTGTGGTGAATGGAATATTTTGCCACCCAGTTAGGCGCGTCAATTTGTCCCTGGGTGGCCACACCTGACAACGTCATCTCTTTGTTGAGATCAATCTGAAGGTATTGGAATTTGTCAGACATCTGAGCACACCAAGCCCCTCCCATGGCCCCAGAGGGCTTGTTATTCAATCGGCCATATTCTGCTTTGAAACTCTTGTCTCTGTCAGTTTTCTGGCTTGATGCTGTAATTTGGCCATTCGAAATTGAGCCATCCTCCATCCCCAAGGCGTGATGGCAAGCTGCCATGAAAACAACACAGACAAGTGATGAGCAATCTTAGTGATCCCAACAATGGTCATGGAAATGGAAACAAAAAGAAACGTTTTCATTATGTTTCTCAACCCTATTAATTCTCATGTTATGCACAAGTGTACCAAAGCTATCGTCTTACTCTTAATTCCCTCTTGAGGACAATAGTCCAGCTCCACCGCTAGATTTCCACCATGCGCCCTGCAGCCGCCGCAGTACCCCCCACATTCTGCAGATACCAGAGTACGATCCTCATCAATGTCCAGTGAGTTCTTGATATCTGAAGGAGTACCATATGGTTCCCAATAAACCTCCTCCTATGTTTGATCGTGAAATACAAACATAATCAATTGCTATACCCTTGTTTACTTATTTGAATGATCAGGCAACTAGAGAGCTTTGCTAATCAGTGTCATAAGCGGACCAAATAAAAGTATCCTCAACGGCTCATCAGAAAGCCAACTTGAATGAGCTACTGAGAACTCAAACTGAAAGGATCGCATCATCTGTAGCTGGTAAACATTGGGATTTCAAACCAAATAAAGTGCAAGTCAACTCGGAAGATACTCACCTTCAGGCGGAACCCAGTCCCCATGAGATCAATTTGAAATTTTCCTTTTCGACAACTTTCTTTACTGGCGGAGTAACAATCACCTGCTTCTCCATACTTGATTGGTTTTCCAGAGCTTGTTGTGGAGTAATAGAAGTCATCTGGTACAATACTCATGGTGGTCAGATCCAAGTGAACTTTGGAGAAGTTGGTTAACCCTGCCTCAATGTACATCGAGCCACCTGTGTAGGTATAGGAGAAATTTTACAGTGTGACTCTTCTGGGGCCATGAATGTATAGAAACTCTAGCATCGCACGCCTTTAACTCAGTTTTTCCTTCGGCGATTTTGAATAAAATCTCTTTAGTGATTCTGTATGGAGAATATTCCAATCTCGTGTAACCCGGCTTTAAAGAAAACAATTTTTCCATATTTTGGCTTCAAACACTGAGCCAAATGTATTAGAAAATTGTACAAAAGGACTTACAATAAAATGAAACATCGAAGAAACAGTGTTGAGATATGAACTTCAATTAAATGTATCAAACAACATGACATTACATTTCTTTAATAGTAATGGGTTGAGTTAATGCTAAAAAAATCACTCAATTCTCGCACTCTTTCGTATTAGGTGAGGAAGCGCGGTGGCCTCATGTTTGGTGCGCTGGACTCCGGATCGAGTGGTCTGGGTTCGAGCCCGGGCCGGGGACATTGTGTTGTGTTCTTAGGTAAGACACTTTACTCTCACAGTGCCTCTCTTCAGCCAGGTGTTTAAATGAGTACCGGTGAATTTAATGCTGGGGGGTAACCCTGCGATGGACCAACATCCCATCCAGGGGGGGAAGTAGGAATACTCCTAGTTGCTTTATGTTACGGAAACCGGAGTTAAGCACCGGTCTGATTGGGCTACTCGGCTTCCAAACAGACTTTACCCCCTTCCGTATTAGGTATCACACAAATTTAAAAAAATCAGGTTGTAGGAATATTAAAGAATCCACATAACATTTATCTTACCACTGGCCTTTACGCATTTGTCCCTGGAAGCAGATGGTTGTTTGTAGTCGTGAACATAAGCGTAGTTTTTGCTCTGTCCAGATATAAGTGTTATGTATTCTTTAGGAGAATCTGTGGACATTCCTCGACAAAATAAACGCACGTGCGTATCACAGTTTGCGCTAATTTCCATCGAGTACTCTTTGTCTTCGTTAGAGTTCTGCACAACTTTGACCAAAGCACAGCCTCCTGTAAACAAGAAAGCAACAAAAACATCGATGACCGTGTTTGATAATAGTAGAAGAATTATTAATGCAGAGGACGTCGCTATCATTACGTTAAAAGTGCAAATGCTTTTTCGAAAATTATTTCTTCAAAACCCCAACGCCTTTTCCGAACTGAATCCTTATGCAAACGAGAGAGAGACTAAACGTTTGCTCAGACCCCATCTGACATGCATCAGAACCCTGGCCCATTCTAATTATGGAACGGTTGCCGACTTGTTATGCGGTATACACAGCGCTTAACTTTAGTCACCGATGGAAGTGTCTGATGACGCAACCAGACAAAAGCTCCGAGGGAGACTGTATGGTGTCCGGTCTTTTCGTCCAAGAGTCTTTTCGTCCAAGAGTCTTTTCGTCGAAGTCTGTTAACCAGTAAGTCTTTTCGTCCAAAAGTATTTTCATCTTAAGTCTTTAAGTCTTTCCGCGAAGCAAAATAAATAACTATTATATTATGTCATAGATAAGGCTATATAGAGAACTTATCAGTGCGAGCCGTTGCCCATTTGGCTCACCAATCTTCGTTTATGAATTCAACGTCATGAATTTAATACACAGAGAATGAATGAAGTTGTAACGCAATATATTTTATTAAATAGTGGCAAAAATAAAGACTTGCTTGCCATTTAATTATTTCACGCGAAAGAAATGGGAATATTAGGCTCGTTGTTAAGCGTCTATTGAACGTAAAAGGCAACGAAGTGTAACATCACTACGTGTCCGACATACCCAAATGGCGGTGGCTCGCAACAAGTTCTTTATATAGCCTTATCTACCCTTCTAAAAGTTATTTATTTGCTTCGAGAAAAGACTTAACAAGTAAACGAACAGATTTAGGTGAAAATACTTTTGAACGAAAAGACTTGGACGAAAAGACTTTTGGACGAAAAGACTCGGACGAAAAGACTTCTGGACGAGCAACTTACGACAGAAGTCCCAGAGCTTGAGTGAAGCGATGTCTTTGTCACGTAATCTATCTGGCTTGTAGCAGGTCCCTGTAAACTTTGCGAGGTGGCGCGTAGCATTGTAGAGACCGTAGAGCTGACAGTCACAAGTCAGCGGATTTCCACTCAAGTAGCTGAAAAAAGATAAATCACTTTCAACAAAAAACACCGGCCTTTAACTCTCCAAACGCCCCACTATATATAGAGGAAATACTGATCACTGATTTGCATATAGCATAACGTGAAGGCCAGAACAACAACTGGTATAAGATGTAATTGTAATAACTTACACTTCCTTCAGATTGGGTGAATTAAGGAATAAGCTGGAAGGCACGATCTTGAGACGGTTGTTATTCAAGTCTCTGCAAATATTAAAAGGCTGAGTCACCCAAAGGTACTGTCATAGAGTTATGTGTCTCAGTATGAATACTACGATAAATCGTAAATCGATTTTTTCAAAAACAAGTTAATGAGGACGTTGGAACGAACAGTCGAAGTAAGTGCCTAAAAAAAAAAAAAGAGTCTCTTCGTCAGGGGGGTCTTGAGAAAAACTTCTCGACACTGGCGACAGTTTTTGTCACTTCACTGAAGAGGTTCAGTTATTTTAGGCAACACCGCCTACTCTTGTTTTCGACTTCGTTGGTCCTGTTCCATTCGTTATCGATGATGACTGGTTTCTTAAGAAGGTTCCTATTGAGTAGGGGTGTGGCTACCATTTAACGCACTGTGAATTTATGAAATACTTCATTTTCGAACTGAGTTGGTAAGCAATTTTAAGCGGAAGCAGTAGAATTTCAAAATTAGCAACAATGTCACTTCATTTAGCGGGTTTACTAAGCCCAAGAGATGATAAACTAGTTTATAATCTCCTGCTAAGCCTCACTTCCCGCGTAATCGCCTTTTAGGGAAGTAGGATCATGTCTGTTGAGATTATGGAAGCGGTGACAAATTCACTTTAACTCAATTTTTGCTGCAGCTTTTGGATTTCTGCATAATCTAGGCCTTCTTAAACAGACGAGGGAAACACCCAGCTGAAAAACTAAATTCCTTCCAGTCCGATAAAATTCCCTCCAAGGAAGTTTCACGAAAATATACGATATAAAAACTAAGAGAAAAATAAGCTAACTGATTGTTTTTTTCTCAAATACCATACTTCCACGTTCTTATGGCACACTCACAGTTTAATATCGTCACTGAATAAGGTATTTTATTCCTCAGCTAGTTGCCCCTGCTCTTTCCAAGAAATCGCTAATCAAATATATTTTGGCGAATAGCTCGCGTCAAAAGTACCGTCTGCCACGTTCTTGCTGCCAGTTACTGACAGTTATTTACTAATCCCTTTTCCGTTTTAGTGAGGGCTACTTTCCTCGCCATCAAATAAGTAATAAAGATATTTTGAGCGATTTCAGTGTACTATAAAGTCCCCGAATTTCAAAACATCACGCGCGTTTCGCAAGCCTATGTTTCCTTGCACTCAAGTAAGCACTAATCCACGTGACTTCTAGAAGTCTCTTCGCATGAATCGTGTTTCAAAGCCCAAGTCGAGTTGTTCAGCGTATTGCATTTGATTTAGAACTTTCTTTACATAACACCATCCGAAAGAAACTGGAAATGCATAAAACTGCAAACCTCTCTGTCGGGACGTGCCTCTTGTCACCGAGTTTAAAATAACTTGACAGATTTCTTCCTGGGGTTAATATGAGGGATGATCACGATACCAAAATATTCATACCAAGCAACGCTTGGGATAATAGTAAAATTTCGATAAATTGTCCTTAGAACTATGCCTTTGATTATTAAGTTTCTGTTATCATCGAAGGGCACATTTCTGGAAGCTCTACTGAGGTCACGCAACACCGCAGACTACATCTGCCAATTTCATATAAAAAAAAATATTTTATATTAGGTGCCAATACCGAACGATGACGCAGTTTTACACTGATAAAGCAACTAAAATAAAAAATGTATGAAATTATATTGATTTTCAACAGTCTTTATTCGTATTTATCTTTGAATGTTCTCCTTCCTTCGAGAGTTCATCACGTCCTATATTTCGCCATAGTGCAATACACAGCAAGCTGTGCAACAAGTAACACTTAATCGAATAAATCATCACAAATTGATAATATCCGTCATTGATAGAATAAAATTTACACGACTGAATGTGTGATGATGAAAAGCTGACGATATTGAGTTTTGTAAGACGAAGCACACAATTCAATTCATTCGCACGGAACATTGCATGTGAAATGTAAAGGTTTTGTTTACAAAAACGTACGGTGAGAAAAAATCTGAAGTATGACTTCTAAAGGAAATGAGCGTGGGAAAGGTAATTTTAAGACAAAACAAAAATTTGCCCCCGAAATCGCTGCCTTTTTTGCAGATTTGGCAACACGGGTTGATACTACAGATATTGTGGACGAACGTGATGTTTTAAATTTAGTCGCAAATGATGTAAAGGTCACAGTGAAGTGTTGACCTTAGGAAAATTCGAATAGAACGATCAAGCAATGATTAAACTTTGAAAATGATATGCTTACCGTAATTACTTTTTCAATGATGCAATGAAATTTGTTGGCGATGTTCCACACAGAAAGTAACACAATTTAAAGTGCCTCGTTGGATTTAAGGTGTCACTAAAATCTCATTTATACTCCTCGATAAGATAGCATGCAATTAGACTTTCCATGTTAATGAAAGATGCTAACCCAAAAAGGAGAAATGTAAACAAACTGCTACCAAAATGCGTGAACCGAAGCACGTTAAAATACTTGTTCCACGATCTTCTAATACGACTCTTGAAAAATGTAACCAATTTAGCTCTAACTTTGGAGAAAGAATTGACAAGCCTGTCAATTTTTCCTGAATTTGTAGATTTCAATAGACGCACAACACGCTATAATGAGCGGGAAGTTTCATTGTCATTAAATGCAATCTTTCGATCGAGATGCGAGGCCCTACTGTCAAAATCTTTAACCTCGTTTATCGCTATTTATGTTTATCATTTTAACGAATTGCACTCAAAATATTTGTCTCGTCTTGTGCGAATTCTCGATAAATAAGCACAGGTACTATTTGAACACCTTCAGAACAGCTCCAACATTCACACCAAGTGTATCATTTACATTCGCGTTGTTTCGAGTCGTTTCTCCAGAGGAAACCATCATCACAAACCTCTACAAGTTTATGACATGCTCAGGATGTTAATGAAAGCATGGCGTTCTTCGTGTTTCCTAAGATCAGCTGAAGATTACTATGCAAAACTGTTAGGTTGGTTACTCGTGATTGAGACATTGTAAGTACGACTGAACGGAAATATATTGATTTGCTATTTCAGTTTCACAGCATTATGATCTAATAACGAACAACAGCACGATCTAATCTTACTGGCGGGAATACGAACCAAATAAAGATAAGAAATTGTAAATGTTCACCCTAAGCGTCTAGCAGTGCGAGTACAGCAAGCTTAAAAAATTATGAACGAAATTTAGTGTGTCCACTTACAAGTGAGTCGTGTCTGTGGGGACATTAGGAGCAACTTCCAACTCGCCAAGTTTTGCTGAACAAGAAACAGTCTTCTTAAAACTTGGAGACCCAGCAGTTCCTTGTTCTGTGCACTGGCAATTTCTTGGACACTGAGCAAAACATGGCAACGGAGCAAACACGAAGAATTCCAGCAATAGCATTAATAACGGAACACACGCCATGTTTGTTTGAAGCGATCACAGGCGATAATTATATGCAAATCACCTCGCCAATGGCAGCGTATCCTCGTGAACAATATTAAGATTCTTTTACTAATTCGATGATTTGAGCTCTTAAGAGTCCAGACTAAGAGAATTATCTGGAGATTTTGCCACTGAGAAGTATAACAGGAAGCTTTCAAAGCAAAAAAAAAAGGAAAAATTTCTTGTTATTCATACTCATCCCGAACGTTGCGTGACATGAATTATCTTCTACAACAAAACAAGATTAAAATTAGTTTTGACTACGTTTCCCACAAACAAAAGCATCTTTTGCAGTGATCCAATTTTGTTCTTGAGGCGAGGCCAAAGTTTAACAAGATTATCTTTTTCATTATCATATATCGACATTGTTCTATTTTTATCCCATTCAGAGCCAGGATGGCAACCAAAGGGACCGAAAAGGAGTCGACGGCTCAGAGAACTTCCGAGAGGTCTTCAGAACGAGGATGTGTTTCGCATCCGGTCTAATTTTTTCTCGCTTCCTGCAGGATGGGAATATCAAACTTATCACTCCAGTTTATTTTTAAATAAATAAGCCAACTGAAAACCACTATTTCGTTTAAACCTGCCCGACGTAGAGACTTGTTCCGTTAAGAAACTGTTCGACGGATCGGATTCTTTTAGTAGCCAAAGACATGGAAAAACTGTCTTTTGATCATTAACACATTTAATCCCACAACATTTCAACAAGCAGGGATTATGCATTTACAAACCTCAAGTGATACTTGTGAACCTCGATGCTTTACTAATCATTTTGGACAAAGAAAACACCGAAGCAAAAGGCATTTACCCCTGTGCCACAAAATAACTTGTTACCGCTGCGCAAATCACTTAAGGCTGCACATTCTTCTTTGCTGAGAATGTTTTTCTGTTTAAAGTAGTCATAGTTAAATGGGATCATCTTGACATTTTAGCGTCGGGAAAAACTGTCTTTCATTGTAAAATTAAAGAGACTTTGTTCCATCAAGAGCTAAAGCCTTCCCTTAATGTCAATGTTAGTAGTGAGAAGTTGTTGTTATTTTAGGCAGTACTTCTCATTAGTCTAGACATGAACTGCTGTAGATTCTTTTTCTAGGTTCCAGACCTCTTACATTCACTATATATAGTTTCCAACAATTGTATCGGTTCACTTTTGAACATGTTTGTTGACTAGCATACGAAACGTCAAGTTCTATTTGAAATGCATTGGAATACAATGTTTATGACAGCTGTTTGTCTTATTTTCTTAATTAAACAAACTGGAATAGAAATTCTCGGAAAACGGGATAAACGTACGACAAACCAACTTAAATACATTTTTCCGCTAATGATAAAAGCTGCCTAACAGTGCCTGACTACTGCAGACGTTATAATCAGATCTGACTGATCAAGCTTAAAAAACCTACTACTTGCCCGTTGAAAGTGTTGTAAAAGTGGAAGAAGTATGCATTTGCTCACCTTAAACTCTCTTACGAGTATGATGCCTTGTATTTAAACAACGCCACGTGAGGTACTTTTAGTAATTGCCGAGAGTAATTGAACGATTGAGTTTCTCTGAGAACTACGCAAATTGAGACTACTTCGGCAGAGTTGTGAGTTGTGACTCTGCAGAACATTCTAAAACCCGATGCATGCATTCCATCTGTAACCACAACCCATGCATAGACGGCCATACAAAGAGCTGTACGCACCATTACTAATGGAAACTTCTCAAGCGAGGACTGAAACATCTGAAAGATTAAAACGCACAATTGTTCTGGTGAATGCGCGCAGGCCGACTGATACAAAGGCCATTTTGAGCGCACGGGTCAATATTAAACAATATCATCCCTAGGGAAGATTTTTCATTCATCCTTCACTTATCATGCGACTGATGGATTTTGTCTGTAATCCTACAAAAGCCGATGGTATTAGAAATAAGAAATATTTTTAATGCTTTTATTGTCATACAAAATATCAGCCGCAGAAGCAGACATCAGTAATATGCAATCAAAGTTAATTCCTCCAAAACGAGAAAAACAAAATGTGTGTACTTTTACGTTCAACCGAAAATTGATTAAGAGCAAACAAAAGAGTTCTTTGATAGTCATGTACTCTTTTTCATCGAATTTTATTCAATTAAGTTTCCAAAAAAAATAATCCCTTCTGCTTTTAGAAACGAGTCTCTGTTAAAGGTTTTACAGATCGGTCACCGTGACGGCTACTTATTCTTGGCAGCTTCTCGGTCTGAAGGACAAGTGAGTTGAGCAATGTTAATGCCTTGATCAAAGACTTTGTTTTCGCGACACTATACTGGAATGGTCATGACTATTTTTCTCATTTTCCAAGCGCTAACCTTAATTCGCTCCATTTCGCCGGTTTCATGGTACCCAAGGGGCTTTAAAAGGGGTAGAAATTTTGGTTTTCGTTATCAAAGCCATCGACCAGTCAATCAAAGGTACTGTTTCACTTGACGGGGAGCGCCGAACATTGGAAAGACCTGGCGCTTGGAATGGAAGAATGATAGGGTAATTCAGAGCAACAGATAAACGCCAATCTTTTCCCTTATACACTTGATCCTGGTCTTTTTCGAAATTGTTGTTAACATCCTGTTTATCGCATGATAAGATTGCACTTGAACTTTGCCAAGGTACTGACAAGTTTGGCTCGGTTTTCAAAGTTGGAACTATTGTAGTCGTGCTGGGCGGGCTCGGACCGCAATAGTAACCGCTTTGTAATGAAGTATTCCAGTTGAGATGATTTATGATTTGCCTCCTTGCAGGAGTCCTGCATGCGGTTTCCGACCCTTCTGCAGAGGCGGACAGGCATGGCTTGCCCTCAGCCATGCATTCCTGGCGTCCTGGTATGCGTTCGTCAATCGCACGCGTGTTAGTGAAACCTGTGAGTGAAAGATCACATGAATAAACATGAGTGCTTAGAGTGCATTAGCAAAGCAAGCACAGGTTTACCGCATGATAAGCGGCGACTGACGTTAGTATAGATTTGTGCTCTTGTCATTACAGCATATTGAACCTGTGTACTAATGATGCCAATACTTATGTACTGAGTGAAAACCGGATATTCGCTATTGTAGATTGCCCATCCGACTACAAACACTCTACAACTTCTGCTTTTCTTGCGTAGCTGGTACGCTTTTAAAATTCTTGTTCTGTAGTTTCATTTATATTCTATGACCCTTTACTTGCCATGTGCGTTTTAAAAGCCCTTAAAAACTCTGGCCTCCCTCCAAGTGCTGCCCCTCTTGAGAGAGACGGTTCTCTTAACAACTTGCTGTTCATGTATGTAATGATCTCTAACCTGGGTTATATTCAGCGCCGTATTTTAAACCTCTCAAGTGCTCTACAGTCAACTGAAGGATCTCTGCCTTTTCCAGCTTTGTCGAGCCCTTAAAAGTAAAATTTTACCAGGGAGTTAAATGGGTGAGTGAAGTGATAAATGACCCGATATTGCGTCTCTCGAATTCCTACACAAGAAATGTCAAGAGGGATAATTTTGAGGTGAGTGATAAAACAGTTATTGACCATGGATGCCATCACTGGGTCAATTCGATGATAGCCTTTACTCTTAGTCTTTCTGAGACATTTATCGTTTACAGTGGAGCTTTGAGAAAGTTGTTAAACGTGAATTGAGTCACTCACTTGTTTTTGAAGGGCAGCAGGCACCAGTTGTCGTAACTCTGCGAGAGAACTGTTTATGCGATCTCGCCGTTTCTTCTCAATTTGCT